GGAATTTCTCAAGCTGAGGCTCGCCAGACCCGGCAGCTCTGCCGAGGGATAGGCGAAGAAGTTCATTCGTACGGATAGACTGACTCCCGACTTCATCAGGACGAAGATACTCAATGAGACAGAACAGGATCTGACGGCTTTTCAGCCTCGTCCCCCTTTTTACCTGAGCCTCTTCAGTCAGCCTGCTGATCTTGGCAACTATTGGTTTCGATGTGATGCACTTTCTCAGCGCAGCATTGAACCTATTGTCAAGGATCGGGTAGAGGCACTCCTCATCAAGTTCCTCTATTGCGCTGGCGTTCTCGACACTCATGACCCAAGACATGGCATATGGCGAGTCATAGCTGAATGCGTTGCTCACAATTTCTCTCGTGGAAATGATCCAGTCTCGCAACTCATGCGGTGCAGGCTCTTTTTCGAGCTCAATGTTAGCGCACTTGTTCGCCTCGGACGGCAACGAGGTTAAGGGTGGTCGAGTAGCCTGTCCAAAAACGTGAGGAGGTAAAACGCCATCTCGGCCAATGGATATGGCACATAGAGAGCAACTCCCGGATGATGGCGGGCAGCACGCGGCACATAATGAAGTGCGGCACAACGAACATGTTTGGAAGCATGGGGGCGTCCCGGGAATGCTGGTCTTGACATTGATGTTGCATCGAGGGCAGACCCTCTCCTCAGCGGAGGATCGGCGGAGATCGGGAGCTCCAATACCGCCGACACCACTGGCGCCATGCACACCCTTATCGAGTCCTGGTGGAAGAGAGAAGCCATTCGAACCGCCAGAGTTATTCTGTGCTCCCTGGTGATGCTGTGAATTCTGCTGATTTGTCACAGCAGCGTCAGATCCATATCTCCCGCGAATGATTCCCTGAGATGTTCCATGCTCGACCTGACCGGTGAAAACCCCCCCCGTAGGGGAACACCCAGGATATGTGTTGATGGTCCCCCTCGGAACTGCTCGTCCGACTACGGGCGAAGACATTGCCCTTGGTGGCATTGGCCCGGCAGCTCCGACGTTGGAACAGAAACCAGAATTCCCTTGGTGCGGTTCAGGACTCCGATGTGACGGATCTCCACGTGATGGCCCGGATCCAGGATCAGGAGCAGTGCCATCCTGCTGATTATGATCAGGAATGCAATCAGGTCCTCCAGGCCCCGCACTGGGGCCGCGATGCTTAGTTTTCCCGTCGGGATCAGCTCTCAGACAACCGAGGCAAATAGGTCGAACACTCGACCCAAAACGACGTACATCGTCAGGCGAAGCGATGTGTTGATCGCAGTACTCGTCCTTGCATATGAGACACCTCACAAGTCCGTGTCTCCCCCCTCTTCCTCTGCATGCGCGGCATCTAGGAAACTGATCGCTGCACTTGAAACATGAGTTACAGTCATGGTCAAAGCAGTCTTCGCAGACTGACTTGCCGCAGCTTCGGCATGGATAGCGAGGTTCCCGATGCTGTGGATGCCCGGGCTCCTCATGAGCACACCTGGCCCGGTTATCAGGGGCAGCGCCGGCAGCCCGAGCAATGGCCCTCGTTCTAGAGGGATCCCTGCCGAAGATGGGGGCTGATGGTGATGGTGGGGGTGGCCCCGAAGGAGGTGGAGGTGGAGGTGGAGGAGGCCTCGCCGAGCTGACGGTGCGAGCATCACGAGGAGGAGAACCTCTAGGAGCCCTTCCCTGGGTTAAGGGATCTGTGTCTCCAGATTTCTCCCATGATCCCGTTCCGGCGGTCGAACCAGCGCCAGCACTTGAGGATCCGCAGGCAGCAAGAGGTTGCTCCCTCAATTCAGCGACCTGCATGTTGATCTCATTGACCCTCAGCACAAGCTTCATAAACTGCTCTTGCATGTCCCTCGGGTTGGGGCCTAAGCTTTTGTCATGAAGGTCCTTGACACATCTAGCAATGCGGGACAATTGAAGCTTGAATTCTTCCTGTTTCTGTGAGTTCTCATTGAGGGCTCCGGATACCTTATTACTGAACTGCTTCAGGTCGGTCGCAGGAACGAGATGCTGATATACGTCTCGACGTTCCCACGGATGGTTCTTTCTCTTGAGATGGTTCCCTCAATGTCGATGACACTGCGAGAGTTCGCCTCAACTTCGTCTTTGATTTTCCGAACCTCAGCCTCAAGGGCCCCGATCTCAGAAAACCTAAGAAGCTGGACCTTGGCGTTCTCAAGTGATTCGGCCTGCTCGCGAAGTTCAGCAGCGGATATGACGATCGAGTTAGATCTCTCATCATACATCTTGAAACGCTCATTCATCTCCTTCTCGCTTCGGGCAACCCACTCGTGGAAATCACGGAACTTAGCCTCGTGTTTTGAGAGAGTTCCGGCAACGGCAGAGAAGGATGATTCAACTTTCTTCTCGAAGGCGTCAACACGGTTATTGATCTTCTTGATCTCACCGACGCAAGCGTTGATATCATCCCTACATGAACGAATCTCAGCTCTGCATCCCTGGATTTCGGCCTTGCACCCCTTGACCTCGTTATGGATCGCGAGAAGCAGTCGTTGAAGCTCAGATGCAACAGGATGGCCGCCACTTGTGGAAGCAGACGGAGCAGGACGACTATCAGCGTCATGATCTCCGCGGCTATTCTCTTCCCTGTCGGGAGTGCAGCCCGGAGTTCCGATTTGAAAGAATGCGGGGACAACGGAGTCGTTGACCGGTTGATTCGAAGGAAGCCCTCCATATCCAGGGGCAATAGTGCTAAGACCAGGTCTCCGATTCCTAGGCGTAGAGTTAATCCCGTCATCAGTCTCCTTCTCAGACATCGGGGCGTTGGAGCTGAGCCCAGACCCCGCAGAGTGTATAGGAACGTCAATAGGATCGTGATGAGCTGGGGGATTAGATCGCAGTCGTAGAGCAGCTTCACGTCTCTCGGGTGACTCAGAGCTCCTCTTTGTGGCTCGTGAGTCAGTGCCGGTTTGTCCCGACACATTATCAAATGATGATGATCCGCGAAGTTGAGCTTGATCTGGATTAGGTTGAGTGAGATCAAGCCGTTGAGCAACGTCACCATTGAGTGGCTTAGGGGAAAGTACTTTGGCAACGCGGCTCGGCGGGAGCGATGTAGTTCGTCTCTCTGGTGTGACCTCGGCCTCATCGATTACATCAAGGATTCCAGGAATGGTTTCATCATCTTCATTTCCTCTCCTGGGTGGCTGATGGAAGGGGATGTCGAGGAGGTCAAATGGAGTAGAGCCAATACCAGGTGTATCCTGCTCGGATCCATCGCTGGTACGGTGGCTGGACTGCTCCTCGAGGTCGATGACGTCGGGGGCGGACTCTTTTCGAGTCTGACGCCGATTGAACGCCGCGAAGAGACCGGCATGGCTTCTTGACGAAGAGAAGGAAGGATTTGGGCCTGCTGTTTCGCGGCCCGCATCCGATCGACTAGTACCTGATGTCCGATTTGGCGGATTTGAGCCCGCGTTGTAGCGGTTCGCATCCCGACCTCGGGTACCTGAGGAAAGCGGTGGATTCGGACCAGCGTTGTAGCGGTCCGCATTCCGGTCGCGGGTACCTGACAGGTGAGATGATATTGCATCAGGGATGAAGTCCATATCCGCCGGACTGGGGTGATCGTGAATGATGTCAATGTCGGATGAACCTGAGACGGGAGGAGGGCCAGCTATTTGCGGCCAATCCTCAATCGCCCGTTTGCCCACCTCGGGTTGGGCCGAACCTGCAACATGAGAAGGGGAGAAATCTTCAACGGGGTCATTTTCTCCATCATGAGGAAAACCCTGAGTAGGCTCATGCGACGGCAGGGCATCAAAGGACCTGTCAATTCGGGAAGGCTGAGACCTCCAATCAGCATCAAAAAGGGATTGAAAATCCAGATTCCCAACCGAAACGGGGGCACCCGAGTTAAAGTCGAGCCGACCGAAATCAGGCGGTGTAGCCTGCGATCCACTGCCGAGGAGTTGGTCAAACTGATCCCATGTAAGGGACCATGATTGAGCCGGCTCCGGATGAGCAGCATGATGGATAGCCCGGTCCTCGATCTGGAGCGCCACGAACGGAACAGTAGGCGAAATCGATGAGGGCACCTGATTTGGAGGAACCTCAGCCTCTTCTAGAGGGGGTCCGTCCTCGATCTGGAGCACTGCCGCCGGGATAGGGGCCTCCGCATCCTCATCAAACACAACCTGAGAAAGGATCCAATCGTCCGTGATCACCCCGGGATTGGGCTCTGCGCCCACCATCGGGGGAATGGGCCACAGCCGGCTGTCTAAGCCGGGGGCAGCAGGCGCGGCGTTGCCGCGAAGGGCGTTGGCCTCGTCGTCCACGAAGCCCGGCCCACGATGAGAAGCTCCGGGGGACGCCATTGCTCGTACAAGTAGGCGATGGGAGCAGGTAGCGGGTCACGTCCCGCAACCGGATCACCAGCCCCAGCTTCTAGCTGGTACGGCTGATAACCTGCGGTTTTGGGCGAACACGAAGTAGCCCAGGGAAGCAAATGAGCACAAAGTAGATCACGATGTACCCAAAGCACCCGGAAACACAACTCGGGTGAAGCTGTGGATGATGACCGGGTTGAGGAAGTGACGGTTGACAAAGGAGAAGTATGGGGAGGTTAGAAATCAAGTTGAAGAGGATTAAGTTCAATACCAAGCCCAAGTAGAACAGCGCGACTCACCGAGCACCTCCTACACCCAGCCGCCCGCGGCCCCGACCCTTTTCGGCTCGAGGACGAAGAAAGCTGCCAGTGAATGGCGCACGAGCGTGAGTCCTATTCCCACTTGACGGGAGGTAAAAACTTGAGCCAAACGGCCGTTCGGCCGTTTTGACATATGAAGAAACAACACGTGAACAAAACACATTAACAACAAGATTAGATTTGTTTTTGTTTCTTACATACTCATGGAAGTTTAATTAATTTTAATAAACTCTGAGTTCCTGCCTCTGATATGGATCCCTTTGATATGCACCCCGAAACGGTCTAAAGGTTCAGTCACGCTAACTCAGCGCCCAAACCTGAGGCCCTGGCACCTCCGCCACGTCCAGCACCCGCTCTTCCCAGGGCCTCGGCCCCGGCAAAGGATTCTGGTCCCTTTCACAAGGAAAGGATCTGAGGACCTGAGGACCCTGCGGCTGCACATCAAAACCTCAGACAAACATGGCAACACCAGCAAGCGATTTATACGCCACTGCCCTCAACTGCCAGCTCAGCCAACAAACCTGCCAAGAATCCACGTTTTAACTCCCATGATTCATCATCCATGAGGGCAGCTGCGAGTTCGCACCAAGGCCTGGCCAGCCTGACAGCATACAGGGCTCTAAACTCTGAGTAGCAGGCCCTCCCAGAACTTCTGGAATGTTTCCACAGCGCGTGCTGCGGGACGACTCCTGCGAGGTTGGCCCGGTCATTCAATTCACTTGCCACGGGAGATTCTCGCTTATGCTTGATCGATGGCATTGTCAAGCTTTCACGACGTGAGCGAAGCGACTCCATGCCCATCCGGAGTTCAGAAGGCAGCCAAGTCCTCAAGTGTCTTGCCTTCCCGCGCTGCCAAATGCCTCGCGAGGCACCGCAACCGACCAAAGCAGGACGAAAGCTCTTTGTTTGGGGATGGTCATGGTTTCTAGTTCAGAAATCGCAGGGCTGCTGACCATCCCCACTGACCCAAACGCCGGCTTTTCTGACCATCAAACGCACGGCCCCGGCCCGCCGCCTGCACACAAGGCACAGCACACTTGCACCTGCCGTGTGCGCAAAGAACGCTCAGGGCGGGCAAGCGGCCTAGCCCGTGCCAAAGCGCCAGGTCCATTCTGGACCTGCCCAAGGCTCGGCTGGACGCTTTGTCAACTCATCCGCGTGTTCCTACCGTGGCTGTTCCGAGAGGGAGTCTGTTCCTAGTAACTTGGTACATAGTTGACCCAAAAATCATGTTTAAAACAAATCACGAGCGGAGAGAGCCGTGACAAAAAGGACAAACGTTCGTTGCCATCATAGTCGTGTTGCCTGGCATCTGCTTCTCGCAGAGTGCAAGGCGGTGCTGGCAGCCACCAGCGCCATGACAAGCAAACTGACGGTGCTCCCTCCTTGAATTAACTTGCGGTGGCTATGGCTCTGAAAGGGGATGAAATTTGCAGCAACTACTAGCGGCTACCCAAGTTCAAACACTCGAAAAGGAACAAGATAAGGATATCATTTTGGCAGGCCGTCGGTTGTAATCAGATCAGGAATCGCATGGTCTACCCTGATCCTTGATGTCGCAATGCTGCGGCAAGGAGATATTCCCCGACTTTGTTCCCGCACTTAGTTTCATACACGCCATAAACCAGGACGATGGCACGGTCACCCTCTCCAAACTCCCTTGCCTGCCTAAGGCCATCAGGTACTGCTACCTCCCGGCGACCTCTCACGCCGCAGGCAACCTCTTTTGCCCCAATTTGAGAATGCCATCTCCCCGTGGCACTAAACGGCGGCTGCATTCCGCAGGGAATGCTGCGATGTGCCACCAGGCCATGCGATTGACACACCCTTGCAACACATGGCGCTGGGAGGCAACGCCAGCATGCCTTCTGATTCTTCCTCAGGCTGCCCCGAGGTCAGGATCTTGGCCATGGGCGGGAAAACCCGTGCAGTGACTACTCCCCCCTGCAAGCTACCGCAAAAGGCAAGTAAAGGCACACATTGCCCAAAATAAGAAGCAAGCCTCGTCCAGTTTCCAATTCACCCAGGCCAGGGTCCACAGTTCCCCCTGTACAACTTAAACCAGCACCACAGTCTGGCCCTCCATTGCGGCTTGGTCCGCCTGCATGCTCCTGGACAGCTGCGAAACTTTTATCGCAGCTTCACAGAAACCGCAACGATCATCGGCAGCAGAGTACGAGAAGAAAAAGAAAAAGAAACAAGAAAGAAAGGAACAAGAAAGAAAGGAACAAGAAAGAAACAAACAGAAAGAAACAACAGAAACAGAAAGATAGAACAAAAAAAGACCAGAAAGGAAACAAATCAAGCGAGGAAGAGAGAGAGAGAGAGAGAGTGAAAAGGGAGAATAACAGTAAAGCCTTGGAGAGAAAATAACAGCTCCTATGTATATATGTGGCCCCTGGAAGAGAATCTGCATGATCAACAGGGGTGCCTTCACTGCAATCTCTCCCACCTTTTCCGGTCCCTTTCATCTCCCCGCATTTCTGCCCCTGCCTTGCAGCCTCTGCCGCCAGGCGTTCGAGGTCTGCCAGCGGCGTGTCCTCCGGCAGCAGCAGATCCGCGCCAAAGGACCGGCGCAGCAGCTCTGTCGCGCAGAGCCGGCGCCTGGCACAGATACGAAGAGATAAGCTTCGATGCGGCAATTTACCGCTACAGCAAGGCATTAGCAAAGGAGACGGAAATGAGTTTGCTTAGGAGTCGTGCCGCAAACCAAAAGTAAAAGCGGCTGAGTGATGGAGCGGCCTCTTCGCAGGAGAGGCCTCTTCGGCTGCCTCTCGGGTGGCCTGGCCGCGAAAGGTGAAAACCTGCTGTCGTGCAAAGTCGCGCAGAATGCAATACTGCTTGATTTCGGCGGTCTTGCGGCGAAATGGCTGTGAATATATGACGTGGAAAGGTTGCTGGTTTACTGACCATGCTGGTAGTCACTGGCAAGCTTTACGAGCTCCCCGCCTTCATGAAAGCCTTGCGTAAGGGATTTTCGCCGTTGCCTCGCGCAGGAGTGGCAGGCGGCCTGGCACGCATATCTGACACAAGGGGCAAACTCATCTCAACCTGGTGAGTTCTGGCACCAGAACCAGCGGTCTGATCTTCCAGACCTTGCTGAACGGCGCCAAGCTGGCTTCGGCCTCGGCTCGACAAACGCAGCTCACACGTGCAATTTCTACACGCAGATGCAAGCCAATGCAAGCCAATGCAAGCAGGCTGCCCGCTTCGGGGAGGGCCGCCCCGGCTGGCATCAGGCACTGGAGGCGCTGGAGCGGCACGCGGCTGGGGAAGACACGCCTTCCTGTAGCCAACGACGTCGTGACGTCAGTCGCAAGTGATCACTAAGCCAAAGTGGGCATCGCCCAGCCAACGCGAGCTGCTCAATCCGAAAGAAACACATTGCTATTCGCTTGATTGTGGTCTGGAGGGCGCATGGATCCAGGATTGCTCAAGGCGATCCTGTACATCATCGATAGGGACATTCCCAGCTTCCAACCCCCCCACCAGAAACCAGAACGTATCTCAAATCATGCGAAGCAGAGGTGCATTACCATGAGGCGTCTCATGTTCTCATTGACGACGTCTGCAGGCAGTGAGTGTCTATCCTTCAGCCTTGGCTTCAACATAATGATCACACAGAGTACTGAGTAGCGGTTCATGACATCCATGGCTGCGAGCAGTGAGCTACCAGCTCCCAAAAATCGTGCCAGGCAAGCAACATGCGGCTGTGCCTTTGCGCCTATGCATGAACTCAACATTCAGGCCAAGAAACAGAGCCTGCAAGGCGATTACATCAACAGGCCTCTCCTTCAAGCGAAGGGCTCTGCTTCGAAGACCGTTGCAATGTACGCAGTTGACTTATATTAGGAACTTGCCCAAGTTTGCGGTGCTGGCAGCACAGCATGAAACAAAAGCATGCAACACTTTGGCCTCTCACAAGGTTAGTAGTTGTACTCCGATGTCGACCATGCGCCTAATGCCAAACATGCTTTGAGCAGGGCAAGCCAAAACTGGACCAGCATCAGTCCTTTAGCTTGTCCAGATTCAAGGATGTCAAATCTGTTGGCTCGAAGCATCGCCTGGCGATAGTTTGGCTGTGCCACGATGCGCCATGGTGCGCCCAGTCACTCAGGTTTGCGGTTTGTTTCGCGTGCAGCGGTTGAGATGTACCGACCAACCAACCAACCAACCAACCAACCAACCAACCAACCAACCAACCAACCAACCAACCAACCAACCAACCAACCAACCAACCAACCAACCAACCAACCAACCAACCAACCAACCCACCGGGGCTAGTAGAGAAACACAGGTTCCCAGTGCACTGAGCAAACAAAAATGAAAAGGCGTTGAGGGGCACCTCACGCGGACCTTCCCGAATACCGGGAAATGATCTGGCCTGGCAGAGGCAAAGTCCCAGCTCTCCGGCACCTTGCCGCTCTGTGCACGAAACCAAAGGGCCCTAGCTCTCCACGCGTGCTCTGGGCTGCGCTCTTATGTGAGATAGAGCTGGAAAAGGCATAAGGCCACAGCCGTGTACTTGGCTCGGTCCAGATTCCTTGGATTATGCATTCTGAGATTCTTTGGAAAGCTAAGCTCATGCTAAGTGATGTCCTTCTCTCAGTCTCTCTCCCTCTCTGGTTGTTGCTAGCAACGATTTTGTGTTTTGTTCCCATCTGTCCTATCGCCATCATAGGTTGACACCAATGCCAGTTACTGAGCAGCCATTCGGCCCATGTGGGGATCTTTGTGTGCACGTGAACCTCTGCATTCAAAGGTGCTCTAAGATGCTCTCGATGCTGCGGTGCTTCTTCATGAGCTGATGGGCCGTGACAATGCCAACCTTGGAAGGCATCTGGACAGGCATGGGCCACCAATGACCCGAACCTCCACACACGCTGTGCGACCTATGAACTTCAGAGTTACTCTCACGCGGGGCAACGACACTCGGCAAAACGCAACCTCTACCCCCCCCCCCCCTCTGTATTCCCCCCCCCCCCCCCCGCGGTGCCTGCCTTGCCGATGGTCGGCAGGTAGTCGCACCCAGCAAGAATGCAAAAATCCACCTAACAAGGAGCGAAATGGAGCCACTTTTGCCCTTCAAGGCAAGCTGTCTTGTCTGGCCTTTCTAATCTTAGGCCAATTATTCAGTCAAATTCAATTTGGCACTAGGTTCCTGGATGCGCTGGGGAATGCAAAGAGCCTTTGTCAAAGTGGATGCCTTGGATAAAGAGGTGGTGGCGTCCTTGACCAGTTGCTCCACTGCTTGGCCGACAGTTGAGCCTTTTCTAGCGAGTGGCTAGACGGTATCAAACAAAGGGTCTCATGCCTGCGACAGTTTGCGGCAATTTTGGGCAGAATGCGACAGGTTGATGCAGCGCGCCTGATTTTGACAAAAGGTTTGCTCCTTCTACACTTCAATTGATGCGGCATGTTGCGGCCAGCTCCGCTTGTGCGACGCAACATAGTGCAACCTGCATCAGCTTGCGTTATGTTGCATTATCTTTGACACAGTTTGTTTGATACTGTTAGGCCACCCCTGATTGGCTGCCAGCCAAGATGCAAACTCTTGCTTCGAGAATGCCAAGCCCTCCAAAATCTTCTCTAAACAAATGTCCTGGCTCGCCACATGCACATGCAAGCACATGCGCGTACATGCGGCTCACTTTGCATTCACAAGGCAAAGCCGAACATCGGCACACCCAGCCAGCACAGGCAGAGATGGGCTTGTTGGCCACAACCAACCATATCCAACCGCACCGCCCGTCCTGCACGAGTGGCAGCTGAGAGGAGGCGGAGGCCTGGTGAAGATTCCGCAGCAGACGCGGTGCCCCGAAGACCAAAGCGTCGAAGTCCTGTGGCAGGAGCAAACTATAAAGGCAAAGTAAGATAAGCTTGCCATGCTGTCCCAGCCAGTTCCTCAACATCTACAAGTCGAGCACAAATCAAAGCTCAGGTTTGGCACCGTCACCAAACACCCACAGCCCAAACGCCCTGCACAAAGCCACCCACTTTGGTCGCCTGCCCCCATCCTCCGTGGCGGCCGCTTTTGCCATGCCCGCAGAGGCCAGCGTGGCGCAAAGGCACTCTGCCTCCCCAGGCGCCTGCATTGCTGGGACGCCCATGAGTCCTCGGGTCCGGCCGGAGAAAACAACCCAGAAAAAAAAAAGGAGAAAAAACAATAAAAACATCCAATGTGCCCCCCAGAGCTCTCTCTCTGTCTCTCTCTCTCGTGCCATCGGAATCCGTCCCAGAGCTCATGCTCCAAAGATATGGCCCAAGAAGGCCAGAGACATGTGAGACGTCACCAAGAAAACGATCTATAGTCCATAAGTGAAATGATGTGAAATGTGTGAAATTGGAGGTCAGCCGAGTTTTGGGAGAAGGAGCCCAGCATCTCCATGACCTCATCATTGTGACGCTGTGTCGTCTTCACCAACCTGCAATCGCCATTGCACAGGCAGCGCAAGGATGATTTCAACGGTTCCCCTTTCCGCAACCATGGCCGGCACAACATGTCGACCAGCCCCCTTGCCTCGCCACATGCTTTCTCACGGCATGCTCATCGCCTGCAGCCCGGGCCTGGCAGCGAGCTTGGGCCCGAAGCGCTTCGCCCAAGCCTCTGCCAACTTCCCTCTCCAGCTCAGCCCCGCAGCCCCGCAGCCCCGCAGCCCCCGTCCTCCTCCAGCTGGTCCCTGGACTTGGCTCGCATCTTCTCACGCTGCTGCAGCACCTAGCAGGCCACAATCGACGCACGGCTGGTTCGTTCCAAAGGTGGGCAACGGCGTCGCATGGCATCTCGACCACCTACTGCGCCATTGGTGGAGCCCGAGTCAGGGCTATGCAGGGTACGTCTTGGCAAGGGCACGTCTCTTCTGGCAGTGCCAGCCGCCCCACCAAAGGCTTCAACTGGATCCATGCAGTATCCACCATGCGTGAAGGTGCAGGTTATGAGCGTGGCATGTGATGGAGGGGTACTGTTTCTTGGATAACTTCTGAGCGCAGAAGTGGACACACGCACAAGCCAGCAACCACACCCACACACACACACACACAAAGCAGGCGTGAAATACTGCAGCGCTCTTGGAATGGTGGCCAGGGGCAATACAACTGGTTGCCCTGTCTTCTATGCAATCGCACTTGGAGGCAAGGCCAGACATGGCAACCCCTCAGTTGGCCGAGAACGAGAATCGCGCAACCCCTTCAGGGTCGCACATGGCTCTTCTTCATGTCGGGAGCATCGCCTTGAACCGAGCAAGATCCAGAACTGCACGTGGTAAGGCAACTCATTGAACAATCAAGAACCCATCGCATTCCAGTGTCTATCTACTGTTTTGCCCCCATACGCCCAATGCCGAAGAAAGCAACTCATGCAACTCGGTGCAGACAACTTGTGGTCTGTCGAAGAAGCAAAAGAGCACCTGCATCCAAGTGTCCGTCGAAAATGAATATGGGCTTGATCCCTGCCTCCAATAACCTCCCGGGCGCCGCGCGGAACAGAAATTGTCATTCTGCTCCCGTGGCCTTATCCCTGCCCTGACCGACAACTCAGCCGACAACAGGCATTGGACGCAAGAAATGCAGTTTTTTCTCCAGGGGGCGGCCTTGTACAAAACACGGTCCCCGTTTCCCTTCATACGACAAGGGGCATGTGGGACACTGACGTTAAAACCTTGCGGTGTTCAATTCGCCTAGGCCACCGGTCACCTGCCCAACACCCTTAGCGTCGTTTTTGCATCCTTGACAGCACCAGAGTGGACACCTGGATGCCCCTGGAAAACAAGATGAAACACAATGCCCCACCTGTGCTTGGGAACGTTTCCAACGTTTGTCAGGACGAAATTACAAACAAAAACATACAGGAGCCCCCAGCTGGGGAAAAAACCAGAGAGGCGCGAAAAAGCAAAAAACACCAGAAATTTAAGCATCAGTAGGGGGAAAAGACACGCAAGCTGGCTGCTCTACGAAAGCAAGCAAGAATCAGAACTTCGAATGTTGACAGCGGCGCAATTGACTGCCGGACGAATTTAATTTGTAAAAGCAGGACTCCAAGCCTTCCGCGCCCAATGATCATCACGCGCTTCGAAGGTAACGATTCTGCGTACGTCTTCAATGCCACCGTGAGTAAGCAGAATAGAGTAAACATAGGCAGTAGTCAGCATGCCCGGAGAGCAGTGGATGCATTCCAGCCTGCCAGCACGGCGTAGTACAACGTGGTGGGGTCGGCATTTCCCGTCTGGCCCCGGCCAGCAGTGCTTGGTTACACGCGCGGTAGTGCTGGGCGATCCCAGCAAGGATTGCGCCGCTTCTTTGGTGCGTGCCCGACAAGGAGTTTCGGACAGGTTCCGCCTCGGCCAAGCCTGTGCGACATGTCGAAAAGTCGAAAAGGGATGTTTTTTTTGTGGAAGGCCTCCGCAAGTGATGGGTAGGTGCTATTGACAGTTCGTGTTCTCCGCGGCCTCAATCCACGACACTCTTGGACTTGCCTTTGGTTTCTTTCGTCGGTGGACATATGCTGGTCATGGACCGGCAACAAGTTGACGCATGGCTAAGAGAATCCTGTTAGAAGGTTTGCGCTGACAGGCGGTCGGGCCCCTTCCTTGCCAAGGTCGCGGGTATGTTCCAGCTTTCTGCGTCACCATGCTGGCAGGAGTTGTATGGTTTTTCTTCACAAAGAGGAAGGATTTGCCACTCACCCGTTTGCGCCGGATCCGATGACCTTCAGGGCGTCGGTTTGTATGGCGCCCATTGCCACGAAAGGCTTCGCACCCACACTCAATCGATGTTGCTGTCTGCACAAATGCAGACTTGCAGTCAAGTCCTTGGGGCTGTAAGCACCTCAAGAACCAGGCGAGCCTTTGCTGGGGGTTTTTCCTGCAGGCCGGTGTGGCTTCCTCCTTTGGCCATGAGTCACTTGCCGTACGTCGTAAGAACGGGGGGCCGCGCAACCCGTCGACGTCTGGAATTCCATGCGGCTGACGCACACTGCGCCATGGGCCGGTTCCAGCGTGGTGGACCACCACTGGAGAAGAGGCTCTCATGATGCTCTTTTGGGACAACGTCCAAACATGCTGGCACAGCTGCGGGTCACTACCACTGTCTGCGATTTGCTTGCGCAGCTCGACTGGCAGGCTGAACATAAACACCGGGGGTTTGAGGTTCCCCCACTGGATCTCGTTCTGCAGAACCACATGATACCCAGCTGCCTTTACCCCACAGCCCAAACCTCCAACGCCGGCGCAAACCTCGACAGCCCGGAGGTGTGTGTGTGTGTGTGCGTGTGGGCTGTGAAGGGCTTCACCGCTGTGTTGGAACCTCGCCCGCAGGTAAAACCTTGAGCTGACGCCGGCCATGGCTCAACAACTGCATCCATGATTGGGACTTTCTCCGCCATGGGCAGCTTCATCTCCACGCTCGCCTGCATGTTGTGGGTCAGCGACACCCTGTGAGACACCTCGGGGCCACGCCGTTCAACAGCAAACACAAGGTCTTCCATTGCCCCAAGGCGTCAGTCAGACCTGCCCGGCCCACTGGGCGCCTCTCGAGCCCGGGCTCACAAAAAGCAACCGAGGTTGTAAACAGAAACTGCTCGCATCTCCCAGATATGGGAAATCATGAACGAACAGAGGCAACAAGGCCCCTACTCTTTTCAAAACACAAATGAAGAACGCAAGAAGCCTCAGCCGGACTGCGCCGGAATCTATCAATAGCACCCTCTTCACTTCCGGGGACCTGTCGAAAAGAAAGGAAGAAGTTGCACACATCCCCAGCTAAGAACTTGAACTAAGTGCAAACTAAAACAACACACGCTTGCAGATAAGGAAGGGGAAATGACCAAGGGAGGCAAAGCCCCCTGCTCAAGTCCTGCGGCGCGGGGGCCTTCCCAAAGGAATCAAAAAGAAGCGTCTGCCAGACAAGGGTTTCTTGCATCAGAAGCACCCCCCATCCATCACTTCTGGGACAACAGAGGAAGTTGCAAACAAAAACTACTCGCGTCCCCAGCTAGGGAGACCCTAGTCAAGTCCTGTTGAGACCTCTGTTAAAAAACAAAACAACAAAACACAAGCCAAAAAAAGAAAAACACAAGCAGCATCAGCGGGACGGAGCTGGATTGAGCAAGTAGCACCCTCATCATCCCTTCTACGAACGAACCCGTTAAAAAAAAAAAAAAAAAAAAAAATGCAAACCAAGAGCAGCACACATCCCCAGCTACTAGTAGGGAGAAGAACTTGAACAAACGAAGGCAAACCAAATGCCCCTACCCAACTGCACCTGTGAAACACGTGTAAGAAAAAGCTTCCCCAGGCCAGGCCTCACGGTCCGTCGGAAGACCCCCGCAATGTGGCTGGTATCGCGCTCGCTGCCAGGCTCCACCCCGGGAGGCGTGTCGCCCATAGCCTTGGCCAAACACAGGACGCCATGCCTGCAACACATATTCGCCTAGGATTGGTTTTCTACATGCAGCGTCTTGCGCACCAAAGGCTTGGACTTGCTGACGTGGAACTGTCATACATTGGTACAAGCATGGGCTGATGTCAATCGCCACAGTAGTATCCTTTCAGCAGCACAGTATTCCGCAAAGAACAGTCTACCCAGTCAAACATGCTGCCAGCTTGATCATGCAGACAATTTGTGAACCTGCTCCAGCCTTGTAGTCGCCCGCGTAAGTGTGGCAATTCATCGCCGAACTGCAGTTTGTCTTGAGAAACTTCCCAAGTTGCTTGATGCCCATAGTGCACCTATCAGTATCATTGCTGAATCCACAGCAACATTCTCTCATGATAACTGGTCACAGGGTGAAGCACGCTGGACGTTCAGCTCAACCGGACACACCAAAACATGCAGTGAGCCTCCGCTTGCATGCCGCTCCACCATCTGCGTGCCCTTCCCCCACGGGCTACGGCTTGCAGCCAAGTAGGTTCGTCAGCAGCCTGGAAACCCCATGTTGATGACTGGACATGAGTGAAGCGGTGCGCTGCGAAGCTTCTCTTTTCGGTTCTGGACTTTCGCGATTTCCTGCCGTGGATCCCGAGCATCATTTCGTGCTTTCAGCACTCTGGTCGCCGGTTCTCACAAGAACACATTTCCTGCTGTTATGCATGCACACCCCTGGTCGGTGGGCAGAGCGCTCCAAGCGGCGGCTTATCAAAGGATTCACGATGCTAATTGCAACCCCTCCACTAAACTCCAAACGCAGCGCCGAACGCAAGGCATGCCTCAGTGCAAGGTGAAACCTGTAGGTGGCACTTTCTGGGGTTCTTAGCCAGATGTGCTGCGACTGCAAATGTGTTTCCTCACTTGGAGGAATCCATGCAAATAAGTGACACACTTCAACAAGGTGGCCACGTTCAAATCTACAATGGAGCCATGGGCTTCACAAAGGCTTGCACTTGACAGGGGGAGAAAGGAAGCTAATTACAGCACGGAACACGTCCGGCTCCTGGTAGGTTTTGGGAGGTTCTCGTCCACCTGAACTCCTGCCAGTTCCAAGCCTCATCCAAAGGCATTCCAAAGGCATTGCATCACCATGTTGAGCCTCCTTTGTTCAAGCAAGCCCGCAGCCCCATGACGATGTGCGCTCCGGAAGGAACCCTCCAATTGATCTCTCACCAGCCTTGCTGCAAGTCTTTGCGCAGGTTCGGCTCGCCCTGGCAACGGCCCCGGGGCTACTCTCATGTGGTCAATACCTTGAGTGGGAAATGGTGACTTTGAGCGGTCAAGCCCTGGGGACTCGTAGCACTCTGGGACTCAAAGCTGCCACTGGGGACCCTAACCCCTACGTAGCACTCACAGGTTTGTATTAAGTGCTAGTCCAGACGCCTTGGACAAGAGCTCAAAGGCGCACAAGGCGCGGGCGAGCTCCAAATCATCTCAGTTGGCTGACTAAATTCCACGCGGGGCAAGCCTCCCATTTCATTTGTCGGCTATGATCACCCGGTGCGCTTCCTAGTTTGCCAGACACTTTGACACTTTGACCGCCAAGCATCTGAGAGTGCCGTTGCCAGAGACATCCGCCTCGCGCATGACCCACTTTGTGATCTCTGGCTTGACGGGCGATTTGTTCGTCGCATCCAGTATCGCCTCGGAAGGGTGGCTGATGGTGGCTGCAAACAGCCGGCCTGCCCTTACTGGATCCGCAAGCAAGAAACATCTTTTGCGCTCAGCAGTCACAGAAAGGGCCCGGCATGGGATAAGTGATGCAACACTAACCTGCGCTAAAGGGATTCAAAAAAACCTGTGTGGAATGTGTTGTGCTGGTTCTGCGCTGATTCTGGACCATTTCAGACAGTTGTGATAGTTTTCGTTGTCGCGCTTGGCCTGGTTTATGGGGCGGGGTCAGCTGCTCCTGCGGAACACTGTAGTCCTTCAATGATCTGGCTGGCGCCATTCGCCAAGAGCGCAGCCCGCCTGCAGCTCTTCCTCGTCGATGGCATGGTTGTCATCCTTGTCGAACTTGGAAGAAAGGTTCTGAACCTTAGGCTGAAAGCGCCTGCGGCACAGCCACGCAAGGCCACCAGTCCAGCATTGCACACAGCCTTGCTCATCCCCCACCTTTCATCTTTGAACGTATCTTGCATGTATGACTTCATCCGATCTGACCAATCTTTGAGCTTCGGGCGATTTCCTTCTGCTTCATGAAGTCGCCCCAGGCTCCCAGAATACTCAGGATCTCGCTCCGGTCGATGACGCCGTCTGCTTTGCCGCCGCCAGCTTTGCCGCCATTATCAAACAGGCCTCAAATATGGCATGGCAGGCTTTTTGCCATTGGGACAGGGGCTCATTTCGCCACATCCCAGAATCAAGCCAAAGCAGCGGAACAGGAAGACCAGGTCTTCAGCTGTCGGCCTCACCTCCGCTTTGAAGCGGTGCAAGGAGTAGTCTGCCAGCATGGCTTTCAGCTCCTTTGGGCCTGAACACGAGGGCAAAGTTCATTTTCGGGTCCGCTGTGAGGTCCAACGGAGGGGGGTTACAAGCATCGGCATCTGTGTCGCTGTTACCCCTGTCTTGATTCCGTCACTGTGGACCGCGTCATGCATAAAGATTTGGAAGGGGGCAAAACACAGCCACTATCGCTGGTTACTCTCTTGAAGATTTCCTGGATGCTCATTGGGTTTCAGCGATGCCAAGCACGTGATTGAACCTCCAGGGTTTCAGGGACTCCATGAAGCCAAGACACTCAGCGTGCCGTTCTTGTCCGCATCGTACTTGTCCTCAGGTCTCTGAATCTCTGGGTCACACTAAAATCATTCCAAACCGGCCAACGGCCTGGTAATTACAAACAAAATCTCCCAACTTGCAACTTGCGCCGAGTCTCCAGAATCGATTGGGCCACCTCATTTTGTTGTCTCTTAGCATCATTCTCCTTGGCTTTCCTGGCCGCTGCCCACAATGGCAAAAAATAGCAACGTCCTTTCTGTTTCTATCATGCGGAAAGCCGGCCTTGACAACTCTTGCTCGACAACTAGAAGCTGGCCACGGTTCCTGCAGCTGGCATGCTTTCGTGCCAAGGGCGAGGCCCGCCAATGGAGATTCACTGGGCTGGCTGCTAGCTACCGGAGTTTAGGCGCAGCAGGCGGTCCAACTCACAAACACAATTCAGTCTCCTGCCCCTACGAGCCCCCACGGCAGCAGCTGCAGCTACTGCCATCCACCGAAGCTGGACAAAACACAGTCCTTGTCAAATAGTGGCTCTGCGTTCAGCCATGCAAAAAAAGAACAACCAAAATAATACATCACAGTAGAGTGACTGTCCTGTCAGCCGTCTTGATGTCACTGCTAGTGGTTTTGCATGCTTTTGGCAATGTGCCGCCTTGGTGGTGGCTCACCTCTGAAGGTGTTACTGGTTTTTTGTGAGGTGCTAGCCAGGTTCTGGCAACATGCATGTCAGGCACATGACCGTCAAATGCGGGCACTTGGGCGAATGCCCGCCTGCGCGCGAAAGGACAATAATCCGGAATCCTGCAAAGTCATGACTGCCGCAAGCCGCAGGCGACCGTGTGTAAAGGCCGTTGAAGCGACCAAGCAAGCAAGCAAAGCAAAGCAAAGCAAAGCAAAGCACTGCAAGCAAGCATGAATCCCGTGCTCCTTGCATGTGGTTTGCAAGTGGTGGGGGCTGCCTTCAATTCATTTTTGTCATCCTCGCCGATGCTCGCAGCTGGAAAAGGCTCGAGCCTCCAGAACCAGAATCTTGCGCGTGATCCCATAAATTCCAGGGATGCAAGGAAGCAGCACTTATTGCTTCCTGCAGCGAGTGAAACCCTCGGCCAAGGTGACTTAACAACAACCTCCGCAAACTGCGAACAGCAATGGGTCGCTGTAAGTAACTGGTTCTTCGCTCAAGGGTGTGGCTCGTGAAGGGCTTGGCTGGTTGTTGCACGTCTCTTGGGGCCCGGTACTGTGAAACCAGCCACAGATTTTCGCAAGCGCCAAGGTCAAGTTCAAAAAGCTGTGATCCCCATGTCTCTCAAAGCCAACGGGACCAACGAGTGATGGATCATTCAAGACTGATGGGGGCTGCGCTTGCGAGATGACAAAGACTTGATCGAACTTGCTGCGTCAGTCGTCATCAGAATAAACACTCGCCTGCTTGGAAAGCCATTCAGCGATTGCACTTGTTCCAACAACTGCCCCCTGCTGCAAATGGGATCAACGATGGTGAACGATCGGCTTAGATGAGCCCACGCCACCACAGGAAGGGAATGCCCCTCCATCACAACAAAAGGGTCGCTGCCGTGAGTTTGACAGCGGCCATGGGAGGAGCTGAGCTCCACACAGCATCGCCGGCGTCCTCGAAAGGAATGTCCAGTGAGGCGCCTGTCATAACTCTATCGTTTTGCTTGCTGCTCAGAACACTGAGGAGCAATTGCGTGGAAAGCAGCGGTGCCCGTCCTGTCGCGCCCATTTCGCTGGCAGCATCGCTACCTCCGGATTTTCGGCAAATCGAAGCATGGAGGCTGCTAAAGGGCCAAGTTGTAGCAGTCACTACGTTTGGAGCACCAGACCACCCCTGTCCAACCAGTTTGCCTCTTTCAACGCAGTGCCAGGGCGCAGGAGGAAGTTTCCAGACACACAGCCCAGCCGAAGAGTGTATGTCGTTTACCCATTTTGCCTCTGTCGCATCCATTGATGGCGATCGCCTGGCCGCAAACTGCAGGCAACTTCCGACTATGAAACTTCGAGCAAGATGCAAAACAAACATTTCTTCTGGCCAACTTGCAAACCTCCAACGCGCTGATGCAAAGCAACGCTTTGCACGGAGTGGTCTCCGGACGCCTTTGACGCCACGCTCTGAGCAACAAGCTGCTCCTGCGCCTCAGCCCATCGACAGTCTGCAGGGTGGCTTTGGATGCACACATCTGATGACAAGAAGCGCAAAAAAGGGGCAACCATTGATTTGGGCCAGCCAGCAAGTATGCCGACGATAACCGCCACAAAAGTAGAGGCACGGCCACCAAACCCTGCCCACCTTCACAAGCTCGGAGCTGGTGACGCTTGCGCATCCAGGAGCCTGGCGACCACGCTCTTCTGTTCGTTGCACTTTGCATATCTTGATTGAGAAGGCTCTCCCGCGAAGCAACGAGCCAATCAACTCCAACCCCTGCAGTTAGCCTCAGACATTTCAGCTGCCCGCATGGAGGCGGCGGGCAAGCAATCCTCCTAGCCAGGGCGCCAGGGCTCCCGATCATCGAACATGGTCAACCCAACAGAGTCCTGCTCACACTGATCTGGCTCGCCTGCCAGCGCCAGGCTTGGCGGGAACTCCCAGGTCACTTACTTCCACAGCTGGAACCGCTCAATCTGGAGAAAACACGTGGCTCGACTGAGCACGGCGCTCTCAGCGTCGCTCTCGTCATCATAAAATTCCTCCGGGTACAAAACGATGTGCTCACACCTACACTGCCGCAAAGCTGCCTCGTCATCGCTGTATGCCTCTCCATCCGTGGCCTCGGCATCCTGAGCTTGGCGCCCTGCCTTTAGGGGCTGCCGGCACCCAAAACGAAGCGAAACCCGAGCATGACAAATGGTCTCCATGTTGTTGCCTAGGAAGGCCTTGCTTTTCACCAGCCAAAAGTGCAAGCGTACAGCGAAGGAAGAGGAAGACAACTCCACAGTTGCATCACCTTGCTCTGAAAACCTGCCACTAGCAATTGTATGGCGCAAATTATGTTTGAAGCACTCACTCACAATCACATGAAATTCACATGAAAATACGCGGGTCTCAGACCTGCCCTCAGTCCCATCGCCTGCCTCTTTGGCCACGCTCTGAAGCCGGCCTCGCAACTGGCAACCACTAGAGCTTGGTCCCCTTAGCAATCCCTCCCACAAACTCGTTTCACGGGGTGAGGAGAAACATGGCTCCGGCTCCTCCCAAGCCGGAACCTGCCTGCACTCTTCTCCGGCTCCGGGCTGGTTGCCTTCAGGGTCCAGCTGAGCAAGCTCTATTGACTGCCAGAGATCCGTCTGGTTCTTGAGCTCAAAAGAAACCACGAGAATAACTTGCGTAAAAGTATGGATTTGCCGAAATTGACAACCAAACCTTTGGCAGAACTTGGCAGGTCTTGGATTTGTCTGGCCTCTGCAAAATCTGCCATCTGAGAGTTTGTCGCAGTCCCCCGTGGCGAAGCCGACGCTTCAGGCCTCGAAAATGTGCGAGTGTCATGTCTACCTTGCAAGTTGTGTTCATGCAACAAGGGCTGGGAGGTCATGGCGCGCAAAAAGTCGAGTGCAAACATGGCCTGCAAACCCGGTCGCCAATCTGATGCTACAGCTAGCAAATGCGCAGCTTGGACTCAGCACTTGTTCGGTCGCCGCGCTTCTGGCATAGCATTACACGTCCTGCCGTTCCACTTCTTGCATTGGCAGTGGCAGCAAAGCAGAACCCCAATCACCGGACCTGCTGACCCACACTGGACACCTGCCTCGGAAATCGATCAACACTATCTGTGAGGGCTTGAGGTAATATTTCAGGGCCTGCTGTGAAACAACTCAGCCTCATTGGCCGGGAGATAGGGGGCTGGGCTCAGGGGAGAGGCACGCTTGCCTCTTTGCCACAGCTCGACTTGCCTTTCTGGCTCTAACAGTTGTATCGTTTTCACCCGAACCCCCCAGCCCCCATAAGCCTACAATCCTAGGCTGGGCAGTGTTGAAACTGGCTGGCTCAAATGACCAGTTCCTGAGGCAATGCCGCGACACACCCAAGCAATGCCTGCAGAATTCCTGCAGAATTCTGCTGGGCCATTTGCATCTGCAAACGATGGACTGAGACACGCCCTGCCCACCCGCCCACCCACTTTTGGAGGGGGTGAAACTGCACTTCATCGGCAGGGTTCGACCTAAAGCGGTGCAACGCACTGCTAACAGCAGTACGCACCAAGTCAGCCATGCTCGTCACAAGCTCGAGTGATATCTTCCAAGGGAGACCCTACATCTTTATTGAATACTGCGTTGCTCAAGCACACTTCCCTTCACACACAAATCGCAATAGCTGCATAGATGTTCCTACGCTGAAGTGAGCTTGGCCAGGGATCTTCTCTATCAAGCCATGAGGTCCCAACGTAGGGTCAATCCAAGTCAGACTGCCACACCACGTCCTCATCGCAAAGATGCACCTGACAAAGCCGGCTCGAACGTTCACCAACACCACTTTGCACGCTGGGTGCCAGTGGAAAAGCGCGGCCTGCGAATCCTTAGCGTGAAAACCAGTTGCCCCTGTTCCGCAATGCGTTCGAATAGCTTATGTAAGCTCTTTTGAAGGTGGTGACAGCAGGGCTGAGAAGGCCAAAACAGGCATGGCCTTCCCACGTGTGGCAGATGTTTGCTTTGTGGCAAAACGACCATCCTCAGATCCATGCAAGTGGGCAAGGAAGCATGATGCTCTCTTTGCTCTGAAGCCAGCTATGAACACATAACATGCCCTGCCAACTACACCAAATCAGCGGCCAATAATGAACATGAATGGGTGAGGGTGGGTGGGGGGTTGTGCGTGTGTGCGTGCACACGGGGAGGGGGGGTAGTATACTGGCACACCTGTTGGGGATCGGCATAATTCTCGAGGCTGATCCTTGAATCAAATGAAAACTTGACCATCCCGTCTTTGTTTCCATTTGGGAAAATACACTTGTCTGGGCGGCTTAGCCAAAATCAAATACCTCTGGCAAACAAGGCCGGCAAAAATTGTGGCATGCCGCAATGGTGTTTGTCTGTTCCAAGCAGGAATAGCTCAACATGTTCAACGCTCCAAGCTTGGACAGCAAACTGTCTGCGCACAAGAACGTTTCTCCAAAGTCTTCTAGCCAGCCTGGAACTACAATCCATGTGCTGCCAAATGGGTAGAAGCCACCTTATCTGAAAATCCAAACGAATGCGTCGCCTGCGGTCGGCTTGATGTCCGGGCTGGCACCACTCCTGCCATGAAATGTAAGCCTTCTCGAGTGACTGGCGAGCTCTCCATTTTCCAGGGACTTCGAATGGCGCCTGTTATTCCCATTACTGTACTTGTAGCTCACACTCTTCTTTTTGCCCAGCCTGGGGAGCGCAAACGCTCGATGAGGACGGGCGGCACAATGGGCTCCTGGTCCCCCTGGTCCTACAGTTGTTCTGAAATTTTGCAGCCTTGCACTCGGCTTGGCTTCCCTCACAGGTTGTCTTGCGGCAAGGGACAAAACTGCTAGCCACACTGCCACATTGTTTGATCCCGTTTCACTAGAACAAGGCCAGCCCAGCCTGGAGGCGATCGAAAGGATTCCAGACACTGCACGGGTAGTCTTCCACAGAAGGCTCCCACGCCTTCTCGAGTGTCGCATCCTGCATGAACATTGGCATTCAAAAGGAATGCATGGGCACACGACAAATGGCGGACGCGCAGTCAACGAACACGCTACTGCGCCAAACATCAGGAGTATGATCACTTCGTGAGCAAGAACCCAACGCTGCACACACCCTGCTCATCCTGGCAGTCTAGGGTCATGATTCGTGGCCTGATGTCGCTCTAGTTTTTGAACCATTTGACCCAAGTGCAAACAAATGTTTTCAAGATGTCCATCCTGCACGGCTTTGTGCTCACATGCGAACGGGGGTGAGGCCTGCCCTCATCAACTATCGCTCTACATTTCTCTACCAGTGCTTGAAGCGGCTCGCTTGCCCGTGAGTGCTGCGGTTTGCAAACTTACGCAGGTTGTGAGAGCCCAACCCGTGTGCCCTGTGAGTAACCTTTCTAGGTTGCCAACTGCTTCCTGGCACCAAGCAAAGAGTCACCCCTCGTGTAACACTCGCACAAGTAGAGTACGCGTGGGCTCTCCTTCAGTGCGTGGTCCATGATGGAGTTGGGTGAGCCTTCTTCACCTTTCATCTCAAGCACATGCCCCTCAGAGTGGAACTGCTAACTCATGGTTGCTTTTGCCTGAGTGCGGCCCGAAGCACTGGTGCTGCAAAGCTTCTTTGGCTTCACCGGCGCGTTACGCGCGCAGCAGTATGGCCTGTCACAGCTCGGCAAAAAATTAGTGCCGGATTGAGAGGGACTAAAACATCAGTCCGCACTTCTCAGCAGTTAGCCGAGTCAGCCGCCTTGCGTAGATGCTTTTGCTTGTGGGAGGGCTGAGCTTTGCAACAACCTCCTCCACGTCGAAGCCTCGCACAGGATCTGCCCTAACCGTGTTTCTGCATGCTGCCTACTACGGGATTCAAACCACATACGGGATTCAAACCACATAGAAGCTGTCTTTCAACTCCTTCTCGTAACCACTCACCGTGACCAGGCTCACATAATTTTCAACTGTCTCAAGCCCAACTTGCTCCTGACAGTATGTGCAAAAAGTGTCTGGCAACCTGGCGTCTGACAACAGTTTCTTCAACGCGTCACTTGTGCTCACCATGGCTCTGTCGCTGGCAACTGGACTACTACAAATGGATACGATCTGAGCACGACAGCCACAAACATGTTAAGCTGTGTCATGCGCGCCAAGGCTCTCAACACCCTGCCCAACCCTCCCAGTCCAACAGCGCAATGCCGGAACAGGAAAAGGGGAAGCAAAAGAAGGGGGCTTGGGGAAGCCCAAAGTGGGAAAGGGGATCTCTTTTAAACAAAACATATGTATAGATATAATGGTGACGGCTTTGCTGGCATTGAGATTTGCAGACCCCGTCTGCCGAGCAAGCTGGAAAAGAAGGTCAAGACACGCTTGTCGCTTGGGCGCGCCTGGCTCAAGAGGTGTCACCTTTCTTGGCTGCGTGAACACGGCACGTCGTTTGCTTGGCACCAAGCGGAGTCTTGCCTCAAGTAAGTTGGGCTTCAAGTCAGAGGAAGGCATCTTGGTAGCACTGTCATGGCGCAGCAGCTTAACTTCAGCAAGGTCCTTGCGAAAGCTGATGCAAGCCCTTTGTCAAGCAGCCGTAATTTCCACAAGAGCCTGAGCATCCACAGCTAGTTCCAGAAGATCTGCTGGGTCACACACAAGGTTTGCCAGGTCGGCGTCTGACTCGATGCCCAGCTGCGCAAGAGAATGGCGCGCCTGTTCCCCCTGTCCCAGAGCACGCGAAAGCTCCATGAAGGACTGAGGACTGGACGGCACAAACAGGGGAAACACAAAAAAATGCGCACATCTCTGAGCCTTTGCGGCTGAGTGTGCTCAAAATGTTTCCATGCTTCATGCCTGCGCAGCCCCTACCCAACCAGCCATACCTGCTCAGGGCACACAAAATCCCTGCGCATTAGATCATTAGAGTATGCAGGATGCATTCCATTGTTGGTTCCATCATAGTTCCATGTTTACATTCCAGAATGTACATGTATATATCTACATGTGTGTATATATATACATAGACATGTGCGCGCATGTGTGCGTCGGACTGCCCAACGCTGATGTGGCCTGAAGACTTTTACCTGCACCCGATTCAGCCAAAAAAAGCATTCACGTTTGCAATGGACGTCCCTGCACCTTCTGCAAGCGGATTGGGCATGTAGCCGGTAGGCGCATCCTGCGACAAAATCCCAACCTGCGCTCCCAATTTTGTGAATGTCCTGTGCCGTCTCCCAACTCAATGTGCGAACACAACCAGGTCGGTTAACTGTCTGGGAAGCAACGAATTGTCTCATGACTGTGCTTGCCACGTAAAACACAGTACAACCAAGGCTTCTTGCTTTTTTGCCACATGTTGGCACATGAAAGGAAGTCAAGCGCCGTCCAAATCTAGGGACTGATAATCAAATCCTGACCTCGTTCTGACATGGGGCTCCTACCAACTAGTACACATGCTCAGTCTCCTCGTCGCGGTCCTCGCGGTCCAAACCGAGTAGCCTGGCGCTAGTTCAGTTCAGTGTGCACAAACGATGCGCCTTTACATGCATGCGCAGGCATCCGCACTGGCCTGCGGATCACGTCCAGAGACAGCGGCTCCAGAGCTAGCACCCATCGCTCGAGGCGGTTGAACTTGGGATCCAGGCGCCGCCTTGTAAGCAGCCAGGTGGCGGCGTCCGAGAAGCTGTTGCAGTTCTTCCTGCCGGGGCAAAGCCACGAAAAAAGCACGTCACATCAATAAGAGTGATCAAAACAATGGCCATTAGACTCAAATCTTTGGCCAAAGCTGCCATCGCTGAGCCCATACAATTCTGGGTCCTCAGGATATCGTAGGAGCCTTGCTCGAAGAAGGGCTCCAGGATCCTTGCTGCTTGGGCAGCTTCCAACCTCGTGTCAACCCCCTTGCCGATGCATTTGGTCATTGGTGAAGCCTGTCCAAATTGCCATTTTGTGTCAGGAGGCACAACCGCCTTCTCTAGCGTCCCCTCCCCTGCATGCATCACGGGCACTCAGTGCAGCCCAGCTTGACCCGCTCGATCTCCGGCCTAGCACAGTGGCGAGCCTCTGCGTTCAACCCAGGCCGTGGACACCCGCATGGCACCCTTGATGCAACTCTGGCAACACCCCACCTGTTTGGTCTGCGCCGTGCCCCTTCACACCACTCGTGGCTCCAGAAAGCCTCCGCCTCCACCTGAGACGAGCCCGTTCAAAGACACACCTGGCTTTGTGCCCATGCCAATCCATGCTGTGGTTCTCGTGGCCAGCTGCTCTCGAAGGCACAATTCCGGCCCCATCAAAGAAGAGCTCGCGCTCGCCGATGATGATCGATGTGTGGTAGGCGTTGAAGCCAAAGACCTGCTTCGACAGACTTGGGCTACATGCGTTAAGCTAAAATGTCCTATTTTGCTAAAAATATGAGCATCCCCTTGAGGGCACAGGGCTGGACAGAAAGCTCAGGGGGCAAATCCATTGACCCAGAGCGCCTGAAAGAGAGGGGTTGCTGCCAGTTCTGCGCGACGGCCGTCGGTGTTCTCCGGCCCTTCCCTGGCTACGCAGACGCGTTCGGCCATAAGCAGAGATTCAACAGATCAAATAGACAGAATGGCTGTTGGCATGTGGCCCAAGGTCTAGGAAGGGGCACATCAAGGTTTGCGCAGGCACGGCTATGATCGCCCTTGAATCGGGCGATGCTCAAATGGTCTTCAGGATTCTTCAGGGATTTTGGTGAGCAGGCAAGCATTGTTTCACAAGGTCGCTGCACGAAAGCAAGGGGCGCCTGGGGGCGCAGCAAACTAGAGGTGAGCGATTTGAGGCGCAGAGCCCCATGGCAGCTCTCTAGCCGCGCAGCTCCCAAACTTGTGAGAATTAGCTGATGTCGCCCGGAACTTCACTCTCAGCACCTCCCCTCACTTTCGGTCACGCAGCGTGTTTGCACTTCTTTGCCTGCCAGCTGCCTGTTTATCAACACTGGTCCCGCCGCCCGTGGTTCAAGCATGGTTCAAGGCTGGGCAGCTTTCAACGTTGAAAGCTCAAAGCCATGGTTTGTAAGTAACTGAGCCAAAAGTCGAGGACGGGATGCGGTGCAAATCGGTTGAGCTTGTACCGGGCCGGACCATGCAACCGGCTTTCGGCGAGCTGCTCAAAAACTTCATCAAGACTTAAAATGCGTGTGACTCAATTCTCAAGAAAAGAACGACTGTCTTTGCAGGAGAAGTTTTGCCAAGGCTGCTGCAGAAGCGTGCGAGACTCCTGAGGACGCCGCTGCCGAGCCAGAAAAGTGAGCCGTGGCAATACTGCCCAGGCTGGCCAAAAGCAGAACCCCAAAAGGTTCGTCACCTCTCGAACCTGCGACTAGAAACTCTACATGTTGGGAGGCCTGTCCTCTCGCGGCAACTGATCCTCAGGCTCATCTTGCATCAGCACTGCCTGTCCCAAGCTCCAAGGCTGTGGATGCTCAGACCCCAAGCCCATGAAGTGCTTTGACCATTCCCTGCCTCCTCCACCTCTGCTGGCTCCTCCTCCAGCTGCGCTTCCGTCTGCACTGACTGCGCTTCCTCCGACTGCGCTGTCGGCGCTGCCGCCTCGGGCTCAGCCGCTGGCGTTGTCTCGGCGGCAGCGGAAAACGCTGCTTCTAGCTGGGCAGTGGTCGGCTGGGAAGCGGTTGGCTGTGGGGCAGCTGGTGCCGCTTTGGGCTGTGCTGCTTCATGGTCTGGCAGGCAAGAAACAGCAAGCGAATGGGCCGTCCCACTCAAACCCGAATCTCGATCTATCCTACAAGGTGAAGTAAAACGCCAGACAACACTGGCCTTGCGCTGGCCTGGCCATGCCCTTGTTGGGCGGGCCGCGGCTGCCTCATCGCAGGAAGGAGCAAGTGTTCTGTGGCCTTCTCTCCTGCTCCCTCTGCACGGATGACATGGCCTGAAATGTATGCCTGAGTCTCTGGCGGCTGGACCCTGCTACTTGGCTTGGGCTGGCATCGCGGGACCTTCCACACTTCAGCCAATCCAATATGCAAAGACAGGCTGATCCCGGGGACCTGAGCCCTTCCAACTTTCAGCGCAAGAGACAGTTCGTTCCCAAATCTCCATCTGGCCATGGGTGACAAATGCCACTCATGCCTGGCACTACATGACACTCGGATGCTGAGCGGTTCGTATGGACATGATCGCTTGCCGGCCTCGCCAGCCCCCTTCTGAAACTGTGGGACCTGCTTTTGACCCATTGAATCGTGCCCCAGCTTCCATAATGAACCTGTATCTGGCATCTCCCGCCAGTGGCAGGGAATGGCAATGAGCCCTGAAGCCTTGGCCCCTGGCCGAGGCAACCCGGGCCTGCGCTGGACTTCCCGAGCACCCACGCTCAATTGCTGCGGCTGCCTCCCCTCTTCTAGGATTTGTCCCATGAAGCCTAATGACATGAACCCAGCTGACTCTTTACTGGGCTTGGCGCGTTGGGTTGGTCAAAATTCAGCTACTCGGGATAATTTCACCCCAGGGGCAGCTGGCCGACGCTTATTTGACTTTCTATTCAGCACATCTGTCTGTGGGGGCCCGAGGCGCCGGCAAGCTGACGCCGCCTGGAGCTCTGGCCTTGGCCCAGGCCATCTGCTTCTGATGTCTACTTGCTTGGCTGAGCTGAGCCCGTGTTCCTGTGCCAGTGCACCCTGAGCAGCCCGCTGGTCCCCGCGACTTCTTCCGCTCTGCGGGTGAAACATGCGACGCCTCGGGACCGAGTGCCACTTCCAAAACAGACCAAGTCACCCTGAGCGTGCGCATGTTTGCGTTTACGTGGCCTGTGTTCAGAAAACTATCGTGTTATGTGTTGTTTCTCGGTTTGCTCACAGTTTTTCACACTTGCACACAAATGCACAAAAACACTCGTACTCTTGCGTTCGTTGTGTTTTTGTTTGCTTTTTTCGAGGTTGATGGCATCTTTTTGCATGTGTCCGTTTCCAAGAGCTTCTGTGTTCAAGTGAGCTTGTGTGGTTTAAATCCAAGCCCTAGTACAGCAAGCTGGAAATAAATTTATTCCTTTTTAAGTACAATCTAATTTCAATGGAAATTGAGTAGGACTTGATGAAGACATTAAGTATATGTCATAAGGCAAGGGTTCAGAGGTCCCAAAATCGTGTTGTTATAAACTAGCCTTGGCACTACCATGGTCAGAAAACACCGGACAACACAGTGCTTTGTTGCGTTTTCGTACTCAATTCACATTACCACCATTTGACTTACGGAAAATTAATCACTCTTTCCGAATCCTACTGGCAATTCGCGTCGGCCCGCGGGATCCGCCTGCAACAAAGCTCTGGGAGGGCCGGGGGGAAGCCGGAGCCGGAGCCAGAGCAGAACCGAACCGGGAGCGCCCAGGTTCGCACTCTCTGAGACTCTCTGAGACTCTCTGAGACTCTCTGAGACTCTCTGAGACTCTCTCACTGCCAGGCCCTTAGGCCCTTGCCGACTCGGTGCGGGACTGGAAGCTGCGTCGCCGCTCCTGGCATTCCAGGTGGAGAGTTGCCACTCCAAAACAACATCCAGATGGAAACTTACTTGAGGCCTTCTGGTGGTGAGACGCAGGCTGCTCAGACCTGCAGACAGGACTGGCCAGGGAGGCGGGATCCAATCACAGAAAGTTCCTGTCATGTCCCGGAGGCCTGCTTCCAATCTATGCAAGCCGATGTAATTTGCTTTCTGCTCGTGGTGGGAAGCGCAGGTCGGGGCTGAGCCCAAACTATGCATACCCCCAACGTCTTGCGCAGTGGACTTCGAGGCCTTGAGCGTTGCGGCAGGCCTAGGACCGCGAAATCTGAATCGATCTGCTGTCACTGTGATTTGAGCTCCCAGCTGTCGACTGGATCAGGACCATCCTGGCTGGCCATGTTGCAAGCACATGTCGAGGAAGCCTGGGGAGTCTCGCTAGTGTTGGTTGTTGTTTTTCCCCGCTTTCCACTTCATATTGTTATCCACCGTGCTCTGGAAAGCGCACAGTTCCTTCCAGTGTCGACTTTCCTTCCGGGATGCGTGCTCATTCTGAGGTAGGTCTCTCTCGCTTTCTCTTGCTGTCACTATCGCCATCAAGCGGCGACTAGCATTTCCTTATGCAATTGATGCTGAACAAAGGCAAGGATGGCTGAGGCGTTGTTTTTTTGGCATAGCCCTGGCATTAGCCTAACCCTGGCACAGCCTGGCGTGCACGAAAGGAGACACTAATGGACAAGGATTAGGGTAGTCCGTTTTGGGCAGGTTCAGGCCTGGCATCGTTTTAACATCCTCAGCATCGTTTTTCACCAGGCTTCGGTCGTGGTTGTGTTTAAGTGGGCTTGGGGTGGTTTAAGGTAGGGTGCATGGCCGAAGCCAATTTGAAACCCACCCTAAACCAGCCCTAAACCCATCCGAGACCAACCCCAAGAAGCCCCACTATAAACCAGCATTAAACCATCTACCTCAAGCACAGCCACCCCCAAATTTGCTCTCAATGGGCCTGGGACCCACCCGGAGCCAAGCCTGAGCCAACCTGGAACCCACCCTAAACCCAACCTGAACCAAAGCCTGGTGATGCTGAGGATGTTGAAAACGATGCTGAGGATGTTAAAACGATGCCGGGCCTTAACCTACCCTAAACTACCCTCAACCCATCCCAAACCTTCGTCCTACCAAGGCGCCAACCAACCAACCAACCAACCAACCAACCAACCAACCACCTGCCAGGGTTAGCCCTGTGCCAGGGCTAGGCCAAAAAAAAAAAAAGAACCTGTCCGGCAAGGATCCATGTACAAAAACCTGAACACACATTAATTGTGTGTCAGAAGCATGCTTGAATTACATGGTAAGCTCGTCTGGCTTCATCTTTCCTGTTGGACAGTGTGCGTCCGTGAATTGTTGACCATTGCTTTTGCGGGACGTGTGTTTCCGCGGTTTGTCCTGTGTTCCTTGTGGGATGTGCGCGTTCTCATGTGTTTGCCCACTTTCCGTCCGGGGCTTGTATTTGTGTGATTCTCGACTTTGCAACGTCCAAGCCATTCCAGAATCAACCACTGTACGCGATTGAAAAATTCATCCCTAAACCCACCCAGCCGAACTAACCCTACCCTAACTTGAAGTAACCCTATATTTGGAGCCACCCAAGACGAAGTTCAACCAAAATCGAGTGGAATGCAAGAACGAAATTAGCAAGCAACCGGCCATTCCAGGAGAATGTGGCAACTGGCCAAGGGTTGACGTGGATCGGGTTGACGTGGATCGGGGAATGCTTGGCTTGTTGCGGGCTTAGTGTGGACGAGGTGGCTCAGGGTAGAAACACCTTTATATTTGTATCCTTGCAAGAACTCGCACACGTATCAGCCTCTAAACCTTGTAAGTGCCCTTGGGCTTCGAAAGGGCTCTTGGCCCTAGCAATTGGCAATCTCTCAGGGTTCGGACCTCGCACGCCTGGTTACAGCTCGTGGTCGAGAACGTTGGCAATTACCGGGTTGGAAGACCCTGCTTCATGTTCCGCACGTGGGAGGCGGACTCAGGGCTCATTCAATACGAGTTTAAGGGTGGCTGGGCCTTGTGTTGTTACCTGCCTGCCTGCCTGCTTGCCTGCCTGCCTGGCTTGTTTGCCTTCTTGCTTTCTTGCCTTCTTGCTATCCTTATTGTCTTCCTACATGTCTCTTGCTTTCTGCCCACCCGCCCGCCTGCTTGTCTGTTTGCTTGCTTGCTGCCCGACAGAACTGGCAAACCATGATTGAAAAGACATGTTGGAAGAAAAAAAATCCAAACAGAATGCTCACCGCCCGCCTTCCCTCCGTCCCTGCCAACTATAAGGCTGCGGCTGTGTCCTCAGCCTCCAGCCGGTCCTCTCAGCAACGGGCAATGGAATCGCAATGTTCCTTCCCCTTCTTTATGCTTGAAGGGATTATGGGGTCAGTTTTGCTGTGCCATCCCAAATGTTGGCTGCTTTAAGAATCTTATCCGCGACCATTGGTGCAATCTGTGACTCGGCTCCTCGGCACGCGCGCCTGATGGGTCTCTGCTATTCAATCAGGACCTTTGTGCTCTCAAGCCATGGTGGCGGGGCCAACACCAGCAATGAAGAAGCCCCAATAAAACAGGCCTTCACTAAACAAAGGCTCATCAGCAGGCAGGTGCAACACTGGCAGTGAAGCGACGCTTGGCACAGTCGGCAGCAACCAATGCCTGCATCGTCTGAGCGCGGAGTGCCGCTAGAAGACGACCCTTGCCTCCAGCAGGAATACAGCATACCCCCATACTGTCATTTAGCATGCCGGACAGGCAACGCTGCAACATCTTACTACTTTACTTTCTGGATTTGGATCAGGTTCACCCTTGATCTCGAAGAACTTGATAGGGGAGGGTTGGGGAGGGTGGGTCACTTACGTCCGCTGCTGACTGCCTGGGCGCGTGGGGCTTGGGGGGCGAGGGGTGGGGTGGGGCAGCTACGTTCGCTCGGGCAGTTACGGTTGCTTCTTACTGCGTGACTGTGCAACTGCGTCCGGGGGGGGGGGGGGGCAGTTACGTTCGCTTCTTACTGCGTGACCGTGCGACTGCGTCCTGGGGCTGGGGAAGGGGGTAGGGGGTGGGGTGGGACAGTTGCATTTGCTCCTTACTGCGTGGCCGCACAGCTGCATCCTGGGTGGGCGGGGTGAAGGGGGTGGTTGGGGCGGGGCAGCCACGTTCCCTCATTACCGTGTTGCGCGGCTGCGTCCTGGTTGCTGGCAAGAGGTTGGGGAGAGGGGGTGGGTGGGGTGGGGCAGTTGCGCTCCCTCGTTACCATGTGGTTCGTACATCGTGGTGTGCGCGCGCCTCATGTCTTGTCATCCCTATGAGGTGGCCGTGGTGCTTTTACAGGATTATGTAGGTGGCTGTAGAGCGCACCCAAAAAGGACAAAAACTAGAGGTTCTCAGGGCTGTGATTCACATCCGCTTGAGCAAAAGCGAGTTCGAAAACGAGACGAAACGCGCGTTCAAGAAAGAACCGAAACACGTGTTCAAAAACGACCCCCTTCCCGCCGCAAATGGGCTCCCGCAACCTGCTGCATCCATGCAGGCCCGCCTGCGGCTGGGCAGCGGAGGCCTGGCTCAAGGCTGGGCCGTTGCCAGGCTGGCACCAAAGGGAAGGCTCGGCTGAGCCAGGCGCAAAGAATGAGGCGAGCCACGTGCCTTGGTCTGAAAGGATGCCCGGAGGCTGCAACTGGCATGGCATTACTGGAGTGATACAAACATAAGAGACCGCTCAGTGTTGCTGGGCAACCCTGCGCGAGCAAGCGCTGCATGTCTTCGACTCTTCTCATAGGACTGTGCATGGTCCCTGCGCGCATATGAAGACCTCGGGGGTAGGCTTCACGGGGCTGCATGTGGCGCGTTTGCCGATGGAATGCTGCAACATTGGCAAAACCTGCCTAGACACACCATTGCTCATGCTCAAGCACGGCCGAGGAGAAGCTTGACATGACAAGTGGGGTCATCCATGACATTATTTTCGCTGCGATTCAGCCGTGTCACAAGGCATCTGGAAGCACTGAGACAAACCTTCCATCGAGTGCTTGCTCCAGCCCCTGCATGTGATCAAGTCAGTTTCAGCACCAGCGTGGTCTCTCAAAACTCGTGATGCCCTAGGACACACACGTCACGTTTGAAGGTGAATGCTTGTTTGCCGGGGAAATTCAAGGTGAATGCATTTGTACATATGGTTCTTTGAATATAGACATACATGCGCAAAAAACAATGTGCTTGTTTCGAATGTACATGACATGTCTCCATACGCAAGGGAAATTGATTGTCCGTGTGTACATTCCAAGTCATATTTGCAGCCCGGGACTCTCAACACGTGAGGCCCTGACTTCTGGCTCTCCAAGCGCTTCAGCAGCCTCTGATTCTCGTGATCGATGCGCTGAAGCCTCCAGCCATGCAACTAAAAGACCCAGGCTGCTGTCAGGAATGGTACCAGGTTCCCAGTTTTCGTCATGCCAACCATGGCATCTGCACCTCCGTGTGGAGAATCGAGTCCGTCGGATCTGAGGTAGACACTCCTTTCGGCGCTGATTGGTGTTGAGACCTCTGCCGCCCATGAGCCGCAGACAAGGAAAGTGCATGGGAACATGATTCTGGTGGACGCCAAGCGGGGCAAACGATCCACTCCACAAACCTCCACAACTTTTCTGGCAGCTATGATGTCTGCACGCGTTGGGCCAGTGAAACTTCGTGAGACCTGCAGAGGATCTTGGACCGCGAGGGCCCCACCACATGCCGCTGCTACTCTGCGAAAGCCTGACTTCGGCAGGCTTCCACTGGCCAGGCGCCGAGTAAACCCACAATGACGGCAATCAATACAACATTGGCATCCACGCCATGGCAGCTGGCCTCTCCACTTGCAGCTTTTCTTTTTCTTGGCTCCCTTAGGGAAACCTGTGGTGGTTAATCACACTATTAGGCATCCCCACCAACAGCTGTGTGGCAGCCCAAGGCTGAGGGGTATCGTCCAACAACTTAACAAATGCAATCAGAGTCCATGCCCGAGAGCATGCAACATGCCATAGCCGCAGAAGCTGTGGGCTAGGTGCGAGCATCAGGCTAGCTCATATTCCATCACGCCACAGCTATCGGTAGCCTGACATGTGAGAGCCAACAGCTGGCACGAGCCCCCACCCTGCGGCCACAAAGCAACCGATGGCTGCAAGTCACGTGGGACTAGCCCGGGCGGGCTTGCATAACAAATCACCGGATTGTCCATGCCTTGCTCCGATAGGCGCATGCTGCCGGCAGGTGACCCTTGCCTGCCAAGGCAGGAACACGGCTTCAAACGGCGAGGATGGCTTGGTTTGGGGGCAATACAAGAAGGGAATTCCAAACCAAGCAACCGATTAGACATTCCGTCTCCTGCCTGACGCCTTTTTCCCGCTGCAACTGCCTCCATCGCCAGCACCCTGCCCCTATTGCGGGGCTGCATCCAACCTCCTGCCTCCGGTCCGACAATCGTGGCCTGGCACAAGCCACGAGCTGCAACACACTCAGCTGGGAAGAGAATTCAAACTGGCTATGCTTGGGCCCCTGCAATGACCGCCTTGAGCTGGCCTGAAGCAGAGAAAGTCATCAACAGTTGGTGACATGGGGCTGGCCCCTCCAGTGATGCACTGTTTCATGTCACCATGTTGTTTAGCCTGTTGGGTATAGGTGGTGCAGATAGAGATTGAAAGGACGCTTGCGAAACAAACATAGCAAAGGCACCGACCGGGGGATGTTACAACACAGCAGCAGTACTAGCATCACCAGAAACTTTGATTGGACAAGCCATGGCACGCTGACAAAGGAAAAACAAGCTCTCTCTGTTCTGGAGTGCCACTCACTGCCGGCCACGCACGGACTAGCGCTCTAGGGCTTCAGGCCTCAAAAACATGCCGCTCTGAGGATGTCGCCAGGCTCCCTACGGACCGCGAGCTGCGCGAGCTGCGCGGCAGCGAGTTGTACGCCTCACAAGCGGCCATCCCTCACCCAATGCGGCAGGCTGCAATGCGGACAACCCGGCAACCCGGCAACCCTCAGCTGCGGTGTTCATAATATGGCCTTCTTCGTTGGACATACCCTCACCCTGCAGGCTGTGCATCGTGCCTGCATGTCTGGCCGCACTTCGAAGGACATAGTGGAGCTATTGGCCTGTCGGCCGGCAAGCCCAAAGAAACACAACATAAAGCAAGGCGCCAACATGAAGACTTGGGCAACGGCCTTCACCGTGTTGGACAGCGGCTTGGCCACGTTATGGTGGAAGCTACACCTCAACTCCGTGCCCAAAGGGGTAGGCACCGGCTTCCTAACACTGCACAGGCCGCACGGCCCAAATTCCTCAAATGTATCTTCCATTCTACCAAGCAGCTTTCCAGCTGCGGTGCTCTTGGTGTGGTGAAGGACCTGGCCAGCTGTCCAAAAACTCTGACTCGCATCCAAGCAGCTGCCAAAGCAGTGAGCTGGCACCAAGACTTGCATCAGTCTGGCAGTGCCAGCCCCGCCTGCCATGTCCGACCGAGAAAGTCGTTGGAGGTGGTGTTGATGTAAGCGTAGCTAGCCTGAGTGGTATCCAAATTCGTACCACGCCGATGGCTGGCTGCATGGCTCCATCACGAAGCAAGTTTCCAGCACTTGGGCAGCCTCAACCTTCGCACCAGACTACGACTCCCACCTTCGGAAAAGGGTCATTGAACACGCTGAAAGCGTGGTCTCGCTGCCCACGCTCCAAGCCTGGCAAAGCGCACACACACACACACACACACACACCGTGTCAAATTCGATCCCCCGGGGTGCTGATGGCACCAGCCTTCTCGCCAGTACTTGTCTTGGAGGACCGGTGTCGCAGTCGAATGCTGATAATTTGCCACCTTGCGACTTCTGGGGCAAGCAGCAACTTTACGTGTCTGCCCCATGACTGACAACTTCTTGCAGATGTGCTCTCGCAGGGTAGCAGTCCACATCCCCGGCAAACAGAAGTTCAGAGTCACTTTGAGCTAAGTGGCGCCCACACGCGCCATCTCCTGACACGCAGCCGAAGGACACCCTTTCACCACTTGTCTGCAGTGTAGTGTTTTTCTTCCACAACCGCTGAACAACCACAATTTGAAAAAGACATGACTTTGCGAAGATTTCTGCTCGTTCCCATGGTCCTTGGAAACCTCTGGGGCAGGTCGGCAAGCTGAGCCAAATGCCAGAAAGGCAACGGTCGAAATGTGAGCTTACAAGACTTGAAACCCACGAAAGGAAATGTGACAGTTGGAACATGCTGGGCTCAAAGAAATGTTCGGAAGATCGGCCGATGACGCTGAATGCCACTGGAGAGTGCCCTTGTTTCTAAAATCACTCCGACGAGGCACCCAACCTGCAGTGGGCTTGGCTCCGCGCTCATGGGGCCCTTCCGTTCCAAGACGGACAAGGAGGGCGGCCTCGCCTGGAGCCACGACACATCAGTTATACCTATACCCAGCAGTTTAAGCAGGTGAGGGTAGAAGGCTCAAATCAAACGCCCCCAAGCCAAGCCGTGCATCCCACAAGAATTCCAAGCAACAAACACAATAATGCAAAGCCCGGCCATCTCTCTGGCAATGTTCTCTATCATCTTGATGTCGCTGACGGCCGCCTCCACCTTCTGGCGCAAACAAGTTGATGCCACTAATCAAGTTAATTACGCAGCAGCTACGCCGAGAACATCACAGCGCAACCCTGCAATATGCCTTCTTCCCTCCAAAAAACGACAAGAGTGGTAGTGCTATGTGCGCATGTGAGGACGAGCAAAGGGAACAAGTCTGGATAAAATCCGGCACGCACGAGCCAAGGCAACACAGGGCGCAAGCGCCCGGGTGGCACAATGGGGGCGAGGTTGAGCGGCTCGTCGAAGCGCGGGCTCGCGAAGGGCTGTGAAACAGGGTAATCCGGTAAAACTCCATCAGATCCAGTAAACACCTCCATCAGAACTGCGCACGGCCCGGAAATTTTCAGTAACATTTGGTTAAATTCGGACTGAGTAAAAACCCAGTCCTGCTTTTGAATCTTATGCAAATGCCAGCAGCGGCCCGGTAGCAATCGATAAAATTCGGACGCCAGGCTTGGCTATGTAGGACTCGGAGCCCGAATGGCACCGAAAATTGTTGACAACTAAAATATTCAACACGCAGGCAAGGTTAGTGCACATCCGCTGGCTCTGTGACCCTGACTTGAGCAATGTTACCCTGTGAATAGCATGGTTACCCCACCACTTTTGCCAGCTCTCCTCGCACCATTTGACACATCAACGGCTACATATTTCGAATGCCCAGAGCCCGTTCACATGCATGTGCTCTTCGCCCGCCTGCGCCTCACGTCGGGCCTCATTCAGGCAGGGAAGGAGACCGAATGACGCTCTCGAAAATCCCAGCTTGTGGCATCACATCTTTCAAGTGCATGTAGCGGGCAACCGGGCGTGAAAGGCAGCGGGTGGTCTCGGCGGTCTCGTCAAAGCCTGCCCCAGACATCTAGCACCATGCGATGACTCGCCAAGGCCAGTGTGATCACTCTTGAACTGTTGCAATGCCTTGCATTCCAGAAGTAATTTATATCCACTCATTCACGTACACACCACATGCATCTACACAAATTTACACTTACATGTATGTTGTCTGTGCACATGCATGAAACAAGAATGTGTCATATGCGTGTGCTTTCCGCCCTGAAAGGTTTACCACGTGTGGTAGTGGACAGGCTAAAAGCAAATGGCTAGCGTGGATGCAGCCTTCCACCTGTGGAATTTGCACAAGATAGGAAGCAAATGCACAAACATGCACGTGTCACAAATAAGTCCTACAGCAAGGGATGCAGTGGGACTCTGCCAAGATGAAACGTAATCATTGGAACACCAAAATTCAACAATTCGTAAACCTCCAGCTCAACAATCACACAGAGTACGAAAGTAGCACGAAAAGTGTGCTTCGGCAGCTCCGGCTCAAAAGCTGCAATTCGATTGTGAACAGGACTGTGCAACACAAACACGAGGTCCTAGGGCCTTCCTGCATTTAGAAGCTTCCGAGCCCAACTTCGCCGGCTAGCAAATGTGGCAACCACGTCACATGCTGCGGACCTCCTACATCTGTGCGTGCCTTGGGCGGCCCAGAGTCCACCGAAGCCTTCACATGTCCCTCAGCCATGGCAAAGCTGGCAGCGGACAATTGGAATAAACATCGAGGCTTTTTCAAACCTCTTTTGAGAATAACAGAATAACATCTGAACATGAAGTAAGGACGGGGCCATGGCATCATACCTGTGGCATGCCAACTTGAAAAAAGAAGCTAGAACAGAAACAGACCTGTACCAAACAGCCTCAGCATGGGCGGAGGGTTCCACCTGCTCACGGCCAGTGGCAAAGCGCAACCGGGGCACCGCGGTTCTCGCACCCGATCTACGATGCCCGGCATGATGCACCTGGCGCATAGCATTCAATTCTGGCCAGCAGTTCTGACAATGGACCAAAATATGGTTGCTCGAGAGCACAATCGGGGCCGTGCCCGTGCCTGCAGCCAGCAGCCACAGGGCACACCCTTGGGCCACTGCGGCGACATGTTAAAACGCCGCCGCATTCCCCTGATGCCCTTGACTCCATGCCAACACAAAGTTCACCAAACGACTCCACTAGCTATGGCCAGCAAGAATGAGCACTCTTGTATGGGCACCAATTAACTGACTCATGAAATACATGGTGCAATATGGTGCCAAGTGTGCCACTGACAACACATTTTTCGTGCCGCGGCTTTCATCTTTCCAAGTGGAGCCTTTGGAAAGCCTCAAGCGGCGAGCGCAGGTGACCGCCAAATGAAATTCATCGGGCAAGCGATGTGGCGGGCACAGTTCGCCACGTCCATATTGGATGCACCGCCAAAGTTCTTGCCCTTGTGGATTGGCAACTCACCCCATCCGGATCTGCATTTGCGCTGGGTGAAACGCCACACGCCCAGAGTTAGAGTCAACAGGCAGAGCCATCGAGGGCAAATGTGCTGACAAATGTCAAATCAGAATGCATTGTGGGGAATGGCCCGGGCGCTTCGTCCTCTCAGCCTCTTAGCTCAAAGGCTGCATCTTCCAGTTCCTCAGCAAAGGCATACCACTATTTAGTCACTATTTCAGATTAGTTTGCCTCCGCACAACTCTATTCAATGCTACACCTGGGACACTGAGGCGCCCGCCGCAAACTCCACTGCCTTGGGTAGCTACGCTCGGCAGGGAATGGCAAGCCTAGAGTATGCTGGCACCCGGCTGGACACTATCCCCCTGCGGAACCTGTCCCCAAGCCTAAAATTGACTCTAAGACCCGACGGCTGCCGCTGTTGGGCAAAACCGTCGTGCCGAAGACAAGCACCAGGCACATACACGCCCACAGGTTGCTTGACTATGCGCAGACTGCACATAGCCTTTGGAAAAGTGAAATTGTAATTCCATGTTGGGTATTCGGCAACGCGCACCCACACTTGGCGCTTTTCAGGAGATCTGCGCCGGAAGTGCGAAACTGGGCAGCCCCGTGTGAACGCGATCCCAGGTCCAAGTTGTCACTTGAGATCCTGACTAATTAAGTCCGTCAACTTGACAGATGCCTAAACAGTGGGGCAAGGGGAATGGGTATTGCTTCAAGTCATGTTCATCTGCGATGCGATGGGTTCACTCGTGATGCCGCGGTGTCGCACAACCACATCTCATGCATATATGAACATGCTTACGCACACACACATACACATGCCCTTCAAGGAGCTGCTTTACACAAAACTCCGGCTTTGACGACTAAGCCCTGTTCATGGTGGCGCGCAGCTTGGCCAACTCCCAACAACGGTCAAGAACAAAACTGTTTGGGTGCCGTCATTCATGCGTATGTGGCAAAAGATGATGCCGCAAGTGGCTGCGTATACTATTTTGTTTCATTCACATGATCCTGGGGCGGGGAGTACAGAGCAACGATGGCTGCAAAGTGGCAAAATCCTGCACCCAATGGAACCCTCCACCAAGACCAAGCCCGGGACTCTACCAGGTACAGGAGGTAGACGAAGAAAATCACAGCCACCTGATCGCTATTGGCGTGGGCTCTAGGTGGCTTTCCGGGATTTCTGAAGAAAGCGTAGTTTGGCTAGCAAGATGCTTAGATCAATATCATGGTGACCTCTTCAAACCAAAGTGCTGCTTCACTCGACGGCTGCGCGCTCAACCCTTTCCGACGCTGCATCCGGGGCCAGTGCAATGACGCCAAGGCCGATGAGCTTGTTTGGTGTGACCTCAGTCATCTCAAGTCGGCCCGGAGCGGCACTGACTTTTGGCAGGGAATCCGCACTTTGGAAATGAAGGCCTAGCTCGCGCCCTTGCTCATTCACGCGCAACCCAGCACGGCCTAACCAAAGCTTGATGAAACAAACACACAACCTGGGAGGAGTGGCAAGAACCGCCAAACATACCCGCTGAGCAAAGCCAAACGCAATTTCGCCCACACAGCTTCATACCATCAAAGCCTGCCTTGCGGCTGTCACAGGGAGGGGGAGAGAGAGAGAGAGAGAGAGAGAGAGAGAGAGAGAGAGAGAGAGAGAGAGAGAGAGAGAGAGAGAGAGAGAGAGAGAGAGAGAGAGAGAGAGAGAGAGTCTGTCTCTCTCTCGCTCTCTCTCTCTCTCTCTCCCTGTCTCTCTCTGTCTCTCTCTCTCTCTCTCTCTGTCTCTCTGGCTGTCTCTCTCTCTCTCTCTTTCTCTGTCTCCCTCTGTCTCCCTTTGTCTCCCTGCCTCCCTCCCTGCCTCCCTCCCTCCCTCCCTCCCGCCCGCCCGCCCACCCTGCCTTCCTCCCTCCCTCCCTCCCTTCCTCCCTGTCTGGGTTTCTGTCGGTCCGTCTGTCTCTCTGTCTGTCTCTCCCTATCTCTCCACGCCATTTCCGAGCAAAC